GTAATAGGCGACTTTAGCGCTCGCCCGCTAGAATTTAGAGAGGAACTGAGTGCTAGAATTGGGTTAGGCTCTTTGAATATAGCAAAGCCACGAGGTGGCAGATAGCAGATGCCTTCGTGGAGGAAGTTTCTGAAGGCTTAGTTTAGTTTATAGCAAAGCTCCTCATACACGTTACACACGGGGAAGATTATGAAAACGCCCATGTAGCCAGCCCGTTCGCCTTGATTCGAACCCAGGTCGGAACTACCAGTGTTCAGCGATTTAACCGCTCGGCCGCGGGTGAGCCTAATTGCTGAAGGAAACTGGCTCGTATTCATGTTGCACAACAGGAAAACAAACCATGCAGCCAGCTGGTTCGCCTGGGATCGAACCGAAACCAGGTCGAACTTCCAGTAATCAATATTCTTAACCACTCAGCCACTGGCGGCGCGTGGCAGAAGTAAGAGCCACAGATATTGTAGTGAGCAGCAAAAACCTCTAATACTGGCCCTGGTTACTAGTAGGATTATATATTGGTAATCATCATCCAATCTACAGCAATGAAATTTCGGAGCATAATTGTGAAGTTAAATACGACACTCCGATAAACGTGATAAAGATGGAAAAATTTTTTAAAAAAGGAAACTTACTATGCAAATACATGTATTCATTAGTAAACATTTTATAAAATTTATTCTTAATTTAGCGTTTATGAATTCTCAGAGAATTATCTCATCGGATTATTTTTTTCTCCTCTGGTAATCTGGTAATAATTCAATATAATTGAGTAAATTTATGTGCTGTTAATATCTTTGCCTGTTATGTACATAGTTTTTTTTTTTTTTTTTTTTTCGTTCAAAGTTAGATAAAACTGAACGTACGTTACACTGAAATTACTTTGTCTAGAAAGTAAGCGCTTGGATAGAAACAGATGTGGGGTTTCATTTTTAGAAGACATGAGATCACTTTCTGTAAAGTAATGTTATAAAATTTTGAATTTGAAATAATCGTACTTCGTTTTTAGTAGCGCAGAATGATAAAGATTTAATGAGAATATAGCAAAGCATCTTTTTAGAAACGCTGTTATAATTTTGCTATTTTATTTTTTTATGGTAGGTCAAGGAAAAAGGCAGGCTGCTAAATACGGTAACAGCACCTTGCTCAGTTTCATATATAGCGAATCCGCTCTGAAATGAGGCACGAAGCGGTAAAGTAGCTGAACACTAGTAGTTTGGTCCGAGTTTCGAATCTCGCGAAGGGACTGGCTTCATGCGCGCTTTCATGGTTTTCCCAAGTGTAACGTGTATAGGAGCGAATTCCCCTTAGAAAGTCTTCCACGAAGGCATCCTTTCCCTTAGGCAGATAGATCGTACCGATGTTTATGTTATCAACAGTACTGGTTATTTTCAAAAATGGTCATCCTAGAAAGGTAATTGCCAAAAAGTATTCACTACGCTTATTTATACGTTATGCATGAATACACTCTTTTTAGTCAATCTAACATATATAAATTACTAATGCTTTAAAACAAATTCAATTTTCAATATTCTGTTTCCTATTTGTTCCTGTTCAATGAAACAATTCATACACAGCAAATCCAAATGCATCGCTACAGGAAGATGATAAACCAGCTCAGTACGTAATTACAGTTACATCCGGAAAAGAGTATATACATAATACATATAATATATATATATATATATATATATACATTATTTATATATATATATATATATGTATCATTTTACTTTACTTAAAATATAATATTCAATTTTGTAATTTAGGAATTTCTTCCCCCTTATCATGTATTATCAGCTTGTACTTTATAAACCTGATACCCCTTCAATTATCAGCTGTATTTTATAAACCTGAAACATAGAAACGCAATTTGATTTTATGCATTTCAGTATCAAGTGAAATCTTGAAACTGATTGTTCATTATAACACTTTATGTAGTTTTCATTCAAAGCGGATCTCAGATAATGTGCCGCAAATTATTTCCACACTAAGTTTTTTTGTGCAAATAATACGTCCTGCTAGTGTTTTTGTAATAAAATGCATGTTATTAATTGATTTCGAATTTTCGTTGCATCTTGATATTGCTGCCAAAGATATTCAATCAAGAATAGTATCTTTTACTACGTTTATGTGTATGGATACATAGACCATTTCTCCGTGTACTAGAAAATTTGATAATGATTTATCCACTTTTGAATTTAAAAAAAAATAGCTAGGAGTGTTATACGATTTTAGAATACAAGTAAAAAAATATATATAAAGCTCTGCAAAGTGCTTACACATATTTATGGAATATTATGGATGGATTAGTAAATGGAATATTATGTGCATGCTATATATGCAGGGTTGCCACTCAAAGAGAATGAAATTCCCTGACTTTTCCAGGTATGTTTCGAGAAAATTCGTTTCATGTATGTTGGCTTGCTAAGAGGTAAATAATGGTATTACTTGTACTGTGTAGCAAATTCACTTAATTATTCATAAATCCCAGAGGACATTTATTCTTAATTATTCTTGGTACACTTGTTTGATAATTTTGTTTACTTTTCCGCTTAAAAAACTTAATAAAATTTAAGATATATACATTGGATAACAACTGTATGTTTTATTTAATTATTACTCATGATCATCCCCAGCTCAACACGAGGCTAATCAGGTTCTTATAAATCACAACGCAATGCTAAAAGTTAGGTTAGATTTTAGGTAAATTTAATTTGTGTGAGGTGTATTCTTAAAAGGCACCTTAACATTTGAAAACACAAATATAATTATAATAGGAGTTGTTTTCTCCACTGAAGATTGAAATTTGAATCTGCCCAATCTGGAATAAAATAAGGCTTTTTTTGCAGACATTCTGCAGCTAAACAAAAGAAAGAAATCTATTTAATGATATTTTTTTACTAAATTGAGGTATTTTATATTATTTCGCAGCATACATAAGGAAAAAATAATGTGCATTTAAATTTCATGATGTCATCATACTGCTAGAATTAATTTCAGGATTATGCCAGAGAAATTTCCTGAAATTTTGGAAATATTATTTACTAATGATAAATAAATTTAGAAGGAAGAAGCAACATTAAATGATATGAATAACATAAAAATAAAGATAATTACTTAAAAATTTAATTAGAATAATCAACGATATTTTAGCGAATATAGTTATATATGGTTATTCTAGATGATTGATTACTATTTTTTATTTTACTGCAAAATAACAAGGTATTTATTAAAAAGAAAAGAAAAGAAAAAAAAAAAAGATTTTGCAGTAAAATCCTAGTATACGATACAGCCTTCGCATGATTTTGAAAATTGTCGCCAAGAACAAAATGACCTGTTTATTGCTCATCATCATGTCGCCAAATCCCGCTGTACCATACATGGAGATTATTCTGACCAAAGAACGTCTATGTAAAAAGCAGAGGGAAAATTTGCCAAGGGATTTGATGACGGAACAGCCAGAATTTCCCTCTCCGCGATGTGTACAGGAAATTGAGAAACATGTGTTAAGAAGAAATGTTCTTTGACAAAAAAGAAAACTACGAAAATCCATTTTTAAATTATTGCGAAAAATCCAAGAAGAACGTTTTATCAAAGAACCTTTTTCTTGGATTTTTTGCAATAATTTTAAAAACGGATTTTCGTAGATTCCCCCCCCCCCCCCGTCAAAATAACTAATCCATGAATTAATTTACTTGCGCCAAAAAATATTTTCTTTTCCTTTAGAATTTAAAGACATTTTAAACGATATTGATTTTATGAACTCTTGATAATGTGACCTTCAAACTTCGACACGGTTTCGAGCTTTGGCGACAGATATATCGTGCATGCACAGCTGTTTCCCGCTATGATGGAACCGAGCCACATCTGTTGCAGAGAGGTTTTCCTTCTTCACAATACATATTTTTTTAATTCTAACCTTCATGGTACCGTATGATAGGATTAAACCCATTTTGTTTTATACGAGAACAGGTACTTCCTTTAGTTCATGCATGGCACATGCGATTCTCGAGGTTACTGGAAACCAAAAGTTGCAGGAAACTTGCTTGCCTTTCTAAAAAGACAATCAAATTGGAGCTGCGAAAACTGGTTCTATGCCAGCTGCCCGAATGACACTCACGTGATACACAATTCGCCAAAAAAGTGATCTCTTTCGACGTCGGCGCAACTTGCCTTTTTTTGGCGGGATCGTTGTATGAAATTCCCTGACTTTTGTAGATTTTGACTAAAACATTTAAATTTCCTGACTTTTCCCTGAATTTTTTGGTCAATTTTCGAATTCCCTGACTTTTTCCAGTTTTCCAGGTAGCGTGGCAACCCTGTATATGTATACACATATAATCAAGTATAAAATCATTTATATATAATTTTTATGTCGCGATGAAATTACCAAAATGCTTAAAAATCTAGTATTTTTATAAACTGTTTTTTTCCGCAGAATAACGGCAAATTATGAAACATTACTCAACATTGAAAAGCGTGATGAACAAATTTTGCGAAAAGGAATTGCGACTGCTGCATGTATCTCAGATATCTTTCATTCAACACAAAAGTAGAAAAGTTCTATTTCTGGTCAAAACATACCCTGCAGTCCGAGTCACAGATGGAAGAAATGACACTAGGTCTTTTGTTCAACTGAGGGGATGTGTTTAAGTGTTTTGTGGCTTACTCACATTCCCGCCAAACGAGTACAGAGGAAGGGAAGTATCGTTGCCATAGTAACCAGGCTGTAGGTAGTCTTACAGATTTGACTTTTTAATCGCACAACATTCATAGCACCATCTGTTATTAAAAATCGACATGAGAAAGGGGTACCCTCTTAATTCATCAAATTTTCTCATTTGCTTCATATTCTGATGATTCTTTTTCTCTCTTTATTGCATTGCAATGATCTTCATTAATGCACGAAATATATACACACACACATATATATATATTACACATGCTAAAAAAAGAAGGAACATATATTGGTTTATTATTATTATTTTTTTCTTGTTACTTACGGTCAAAGAATCTGTTCCTGGTACTTCCATTTTATCCCAAAGCATCAACCATTTTTGGGGTAAAAGACCAAGCTCTGTCTCTAAATTATGGATAGTCTGAAATTTACATCAAGCAATAATCAGATAACTGTGAAAATAACCACTACATTTAAAATTTGCAGCGTCTATAGAACTTAGACACTTAAAGTGACAAATATAATGTATATGGCCTATAATTATTCACCAAATTAAAACAAAATATTCATAAAATGTTTAAAAAAACACAAGACCTTGCATGGAATAATTACAAGTCAGTAGTACAACATTTTGGCACACAATGTATAAAAAAAATTCATAAATTAAAGTTACAAATTTCAATATTAAGCATTCACATCACATTCTGTCATAATACAATTTTAAAGTTATATTTTAATAATTAAAAATCAAAACTTTTGAAAACAAAGATTCTCAAATAAAAAATATAGAAGGGTGTAATGAATTATAGCTCTTAAATACACATTACCTGAATTTTGTATTTATCTTTTGTTATTGAAATTAAATTGCAAACAAGGCAGGAGAGTTATTATTTGTTTATCAAATTTTTCAACTAACAAATCTCTCTCTCTCTTATATATATATATATATATATATATTATATATAAACCCGAAAGCTTTTGGATTTTATATTAAAACCAAAGGGCCCCCCCTCTTTCATTTTAAGTTTTTCCGTGCTACCTTTATTTATTAAATAACATGTTCTTCACTCTTTAAATGCTTTATAAAATATGAAATAGATAATAAAACAAATTCCAAATTTGAGATTCCAGATGCCCATATTCGGGTGGAGACATACGTTATTGAAAATTTGATGGCTCTAGGTATAACTGTTTTATAACAATGCGAGAAGCACACATACATTCATGCAGATTCTTCATTTATTTAATTTCTTTAAATATAATACAGGGTTCTAATATTTGGTGGCAACAGTTTGAAAAGTGATTCACCATTTATACTGAATCAACACAAAATGCCAAAATGAAATTTGGTGACCGGAAAAATGCTCACAGGAAAAAAAGCTCACACAGAAATATGCCCACATAGAAAAAAGCTCACATGGAAATAAGCCCACTGATACATAAAATACGTAGAAATATCCTTACATTAATCAATCAATAATTAATTGATTTGAACATCGTACACCTACTTGAATTTTTCAAAGAAAAATTATTTAAATTACCAAAACATCTATGGTATATATATATATCAAAAACTGTATAACTTTTGTGTAGATTTAATTGCTATATAAGATTAACAAACGGGCTGTTTTGAATTAGGAAAGAGAGAGGAGAAAGGAAGAAAAACAAAACAGAATATACAGCGAAAAATTATTACTATTTTATTTGTTAAAAAAATTAAATAATAATAAGTATAAAGTTACCAATTTTATAACAAAATTTAGAAAGAATAAGCAAATAGAAATAATTATATCATTTAAATTATGTAAAATACCTTGTTATATATAAATCATGAATATTTCACATAAACTTGTAAGATATTTCTCCTGGCCTGCCTAGCATGCCTTCGTGGTATGGTGGTCTGCACACTGGGCGCGTATTCCAGAGGTCCGTGGTTCGATTTCCGGCGAAGGCTTTGCTAATTTTTCACATCTCCTGCTTCCAAAATACCTAATGTCTCTACAGTGACGCTGGAACTAAAAGGGTGGTGGATGATGATTCTACACACCGAGGATATGGCGATTGGGTCCCCTAAAAACCCCAATCACCCTTTTAAAGGGAGAAGTTATATAAGGTATTTCTTCCGCCTTCCTAGCATGCTTTCATGGTGTAGTGGTCAGCACGCTGAGTGCATATTCCAGAGGTCCGTGGTTCGATTCCCGACGAAGGCTTTGCTTATTTTTCACATCTTTTGTTTCCAAAATACTTATGTCTCTACACACTTACTGAATATTAGCTAATATATGTAAATATCTAATTCTATCATCAATTTCATCATAGTTTCTTACATGATTCGTGTGTGTGTGTGATTATGGCAAAGCCTCGAGGGCTATCTGCCTAAGAGGAGGGATGCCTTCGTGGAGGACTTTCTAAGGGAAACTGGCTCGTATATACGTTACACATGGGGAAAACTACGAAAACGCCCATGCAGCCAGCCCGTTCGCGGGATTCGAACCTCGGACCGAACTACCAGTGTTCAGCGACTTTACCGCTCGGCCGCTGGTGGGCCTTTACATGATTCGCGATTACCAAATGTAAGGTTTTCATATTTTCTTTCTTTTCTTTTCTTTTTACTTCAGTATGCCTTGTATTTACAATAGATAGTAATAAACGGATAGTAATAAACACTGACAGGCTAAATCTCTTTTCAGTCCGTCAAACAAAAACCACATACTAGGATGGCTACAATTAAATAATGAATTTAATGCCTTATGAAAGCTTTCCTAATAATTTGTTCTTTTTGGAGATTTTTCGAAGGCTGCTTCATAATGATACCACAATTTGATTGGACACTGTGGTCTTCTAGAACATTTTTGGCTCCAAACTTAAATAATTACATTCAAACATCAATTTCTACAGATACAGATCAAAAGTATGTAAAAATAGAGTTAATAAAAACCAAAAATAAACTATTGGCAGTTACAGGAAAAAATGTTGAACAGGGGGCAATGGTATAAGATATTACAGTACATGCAAAATTTTACTATAGTTTTCATTTTTAATATACCGCCGCTGAAAAGGTTAATCTGAGCATTCGTACAATAATTTTTTCAAATATTTGTTCAATAATTTTTCTTTAAAAAATTCAAGTAGGTGTGTGATGTTCAAATCGATTAATTATTGATTGATTAATGTAAAGATATTTCCTAGTATATTTTTTATCAGTAGGCTTATATCCATGTGAGTTTTTTTTCTGTATGAGCATATTTCTAAGTGAGCATTTTTCCATGTGAGTTTTTTTCTGTATGAGCATATTTCTGTGTGGGCTTTTTTCCTGTGAGCATTATTTCTAAGTGAGCATTTTTCCATGTGAGTTTTTTTCTGTATGAGCATATTTCTGTGTGGGCTATTTTCCTGTGAGCATTATTTCTAAGTGAGCATTTTTCCATGTGAATATTTTTCTATGTGGCCATATTTCTGTGTGGGCTTTTTTCCTGTGAGCATTTATAACTATGAGCATTAATCGTGGGCCTTTTTTCCTGTGGTTTTTTTTCCTAGAACCATGAAATTTATAGCACTTCTGGACAAATTGCCCCTTTGGGCTAAAAAAGGGGGGCATGCTAAAATGGTTAATAAGGGCAAGGCTGCTAATCTAACATGTATGAAAAGGAAATACATAAAGTTTAATGAATACCTCTAGAATTTGTGTGAAAAAGTCTGGCTCTACAGTTGGTATACAATCGTAACAATTATTTACAATTCTTCGAGAACTTGAATTCCCATCAGCAGCTACAGATTCTTCTTCCCTTTGCCTTTCCATAGCAACTAACTCTAAATCATAAGAAGGTCCATGTGCTAATTCTTCTTCTGTGTAATAATCCCAAATGGTGAGGTTGGAAATATTAGAATATGGCCTTAATACCTATATAAGAAGTATATTATACTTTACTTTACATCCATTAAACTAATTCTGCTTTTATTGGCTATAAATAAACTACCACTGACTACTGGCTATGCTCAGCTGTCAGGCAAGCCATAGAAACTTTCTTTACATCAATACTTTATGTAAGTAATTCAAGTGAACAGATTCAGATACAAATATAATTAACCGTTTGAGTCCGACGCAGCGCTCTCGCGCTTCACTTGTCGTATGCCAAAAATACCATGGAGGTAGGAAAGGGAGGAGGGGCCAACCTGCGCTAAAAGTGAAGCACTGCTTTGAAGCTTGGGTCACCAGATGGGGGTGTTCTATGTTTACATTCAGAAGCTCGCTTGACAAGATTCTGATAGTATTTCGACACATGACAGTTCCATAAAAATCGAAAAAGGGACACTTTCGCATGAAAAAAACATTCATAGTGTGATGGATAATAGCAGTTTGTATAGTTTAGTGACATTTACGCAAAAATCCCATCTTGGTTATTTTTCGATAACTAACAACAGCGATTTTGATTATGAATTTGTTTTATAAATTATAAGCTGTTGCACTTAGAAAAAATATAGATTTTAAGAAAAAAAAATGTTATGCTTAAAGAATGAAAAATACCTTACGGTACATTTAAAATTGTATACGTCTTTCGATACCCTTCCTTGATAGAGTATTCGCTACTTTTATTTATTTTTCCAAACGTCAAAATGTTTTAAATTAAAACAAATTTTTTTTCACATCCATAGATATTATTGTAACATGTACCTTTTTAAAATGTTTTAGAGGAGAGCTTTACTGCTGCTCATTTTAAACCCTTTTTAATTTTATATATCTGAAAAATCACTTTGGGCTTATTTTATAAATATAACATTATGTATGTTAAAATATTTGTAATTAGGCACATAGGTCAGATTAAGTTTTTATTAAATAGAGTAACACATGCAAGGGCTATCTGCCTAAAGAGAGAGATGCCATCGTGGAGGAATTTTGAAGAAAAACTGACCTTTGAATGGGTATTAAAAATAATACTTATAATTTTCATTCAAATTATATTCATATATATTTTTTATGTAAAACTTTCGGGTGTATGCTAAATTAGTGTAAATTACTTTACACGAAAAATATAATGAATTCACAGAAATTAAAGATTTGCACATGCCGGAAATGAAAAATAGGAAATATGTATGGGTATTTATGCATGTGCTTGCAAAAAGCATGTATCTGCCTTTGACAAAATACTTAATATTCATTAAATTATTTATAAATGTATTTGAAATGAAGAATTTATTCACTTATAAACAACTGTGAAAGTACTGTGAAGAAATCTAATTATTAAATGTATCTAATTTATAATGATTATAAATGTTATCTAAATATATAATACCTTAATATTGAATTGTAAACATAAATTGAAATCCTGTTGACAAATACGTTATAAAACTATTTAAGCAAGAATTGTTCGTTATTGGAAAGCAATCTGTTAAACGGTATTGTAAAGCAAATGCTATGAGATGCGCACTTAAGAACGTAATAAAGAGTTTTGGAATATGTATTGTTGAAATGAAGGGTAAAAAAAAAAATCTGATAAGTATAATTAAAAGAATTATTCCCCTTACATTTTATAATAACTCAGTTACAAGTTTTAAATAATACTTAAAAAAAAAAAAAAAAAAAAAAAAAAAAAAAAACTTATTTATTCCCTTTCAGAAATGTTCAGAAAGTCAAGTACTATTTAATACCTATTTAAGGAATTAGCGAAATACTTTTTAAAGTATTTCGCTAATTCCGAATAATTCTCTAATTTAAAAGATGCCTCAGAAGCCAAAAAATTATGTCATATTTAAGAAAGTATTTTAGGAAAGAAGCTCTATAAATAGAAAAGAAATAATGCATAATTTTAATATTAATAATACAATAAACTTTGATCTTAATTTTTGTACCTTAACCGAATAAAATCGAATTACCTTAATTTTTTTTTCTAATGTAATTAACGAAAACTTGTGAAAATATTTCATTCAAATTAAACCATTCTGAGAAAACTGTCCTGTGAAAAGTATAGCATTTAATTCCGTTCAGAATGAAATGTTGTTTAAAAATATGTTGTTTTCACATATTTCACACATAGGACTCTGAAGTGTTGTAGAAAAAGAAAATATATACATTTATATGTATATTTACGACATAATTACAAAATATTTACATCCGAACGCATCAAATCCCATAGAACTCAATGGTAAATGACCCAATGTTTTGGTCACCACGTAGGGATCGCCGGTGCTTCAGAGCAGGGTACAGGAGAAACTTGTTTAGGGTGACTCCATCTTACTTCCTACCTCCATGAAAAATACGGCGCAGCACGATAGCGCTTCTTTTGTTCTGTATCGAGACTGCGAAGACGCTGCTGTTGGTTAGTATACTTTACACAATTACTGACAGCAGTTGTAGTGATATCAGTAGCATTTGTTTTATAGGAATGGAAATGTTTTCATTTTTTACTAAGTGTTATACTGATAATTATGAAATAACCCATGTTAAGTTCTGATTCATTTGAAAGTGACTATGTTATGAGAAGTGATAATGAAGAGTATAGTAATGACCTTGAAATAGATAGTGGAAGTGACATCATCATTAATTCTAAGAGATTACAAGTTATTAGTGATAGCAGTGATGATAATAATGAAGTAACTGCAAGTACCTCTGATAACGATATTATTGATGAGTTTTTACCCATGGATACAATTTTTTCGCACGAATCGAATACTTTTTCTGAAGTACCTGGACCAAAGCATGCCCCTCCTCCTGATGCGAAACCAATTGAATATTTCAATAATTTTTTTCAATTTTCAATAATTTTTTTTTTCAAGTATACTAATCAACAGCAGCGTCTTTGCATTCTCGATACAAAACAAGAGAAACGCTATCGTGCTGCACCGTATTTTTGGTATACCACAAGTGAAGCGCTCGCCGGACTCAAACGATTAAATATAAGATTTTAAGAAATGATTTACAAATTTCTAATACTGTATAATGACTTGATTATTACCTCTACAAATATGTATTAAAAAATAAGCATCAAACTACATGAATAAAACAAAAACTAAGATTTTCTAACTATGTTATGACATAAGACTATACTCCTGACCAAATTTATATTTATATACACAAAAATAACGTTATGCCTTTCAATCAAACATAATCCATTTCTGCAAGGAAATAAGTGAAAAACACGTCTTAGCATTACCTAATTAAAAATGATCTAACAGTTTCTAATATGCAAGTCAGAGCATTATGTCATCTGTAAGTGAATTAAGTGCTTTGTGCAAAGTGAGTCCTTACACACTGAAATCAAATGCTCTGCAATAGAGCATTTGATTTCAGTGTGTAAGGACTCAAAACAGTTTGTTACAGCTCTGAAGTATCATTTGAAAGAATATGTGAAAAGGCTAATAATCAGCCATTTATGTGGAAATATTTTAAAACAGACAGCCCATACACAATTTATAACTGATTTACTTATTACAGAGTCTATATTTCCCAAATCCAAAAATTTCGGATTTCAGAAAGCAAAAATTCCAGATTTCTGACTACATGAGAACCACAATGAACCCTGTTTATTCCCCAAATTGTGGTTAAGAATGTTATTGCCAGCATGAAAACACATCCAAATCCGGAGAGATCACACTCCATATTCATAAGTCTTATGTTTTGAATTTTTTTCCCTGAACCCTCCTTGTAACATATTATTACCATTTTAATTCTTTCATACTACAGATTTATATCACATGCAGAGATCTTAAATTATTTCTTTCCCCTTTGTATTTATGTGCTATGACGTTATGTATCATTTCACACAAATTCATAAAATTATAGATCAGCTTCTAAAAAATCCATGATTTCATGCAAATATAATTCTGCATGCGAGTGTTCATTATTTACAACACAATGTTTTGGAACTGAAGTATACTTACACCATCTTCATTACTAGGCATATACCAAAAGTTATAAAAAATTGGACACCTAGCCCAAAGCTTTTCCACATAATCCCAGAAAGATGGACCAAGTAAAGAGGAATTATTCAGGGAATTAGTTTTGAGAGAAAATCCTGTTTCATCATCTGATCCACCATCCAAGCCACGATGTCTAGAGCAACGATCTTCAAGCAACCAGCCCACTTCAGCTCGTTCACATTCATTATCCAATAAAAAAGTACGAAATCGACATGATACATAATGGTAAGCCAAAAATTTCAGGTAGTACTGGTTAAATTCAAAAGACATCGGGAATTGCTTATGTATCTGAAATAAAAATTGCAAAAATTAAAATATTAAATACAATTTTCATTTAAATTTATACAATACATGTTAAGATTTGAAATACTGAATATAATATATAAAGTCAGTGAAAATTGTAAAGTATGGAAATATTTTCAACTGCATAATAAAAACAACGAATACTCACATGAAGGAAACCAACAGCATTAAAATGTAAAAAATTAAGCAATCAGTGAGTTACTTTAAATACATATAAGTTAAAATTGCTCGAAATTTTATATCTTTAGGTTACTATTTTACCAAACTAAAACTTTCAAATACAACAAAACTTTTCTAAGATGATAACTAACGATTCCGGAGAATTCTAATCTCTGGCAAAGACAATTAGATGGTTATCTTAAAATACATGATCAAGAGTGAAATTTAATACTGGTAGTTTTCAAAGGTAATTTACAATGACAGGTTTCACTACTCGGGGGGTGGGGGACTGGTTATCCTTTCCATTTTGTGAAAAACAGAGGATTTTAATACTGCAAATTCTTTAAGTATATATATAAAATTAAATTCTGAAATTAGCCATTATAAAATTGGTTGTTGTTTTAATTATTTTTTTCCAGCCATTTTATTACATGTTTGAAATGATTCCATTAAATTTCAACAACTTTCATACTGAAATACATATTTTCATTGTTGAAATTAAGCTATGCTTCCTTTGGTTATCTGATTTTGGTGATAGAAAGTACACAAAAGCTTATCAGAACAAAACTTGCTACACAAGAACTCAGAACTAGTAAAAACATTTATATTTCCATATGGATTGACTCACTATATAATTATGAAAACTGACCTGATTTATAGATTAACAAGTACAGATATATAGTCTATTAAGCATGGTTAGATCATCTAAAGCCTCCCAAGGTACTGAAGGATTACACCTTGCAATCTTCATGCAACACAGACGAATATGGAAATTCTGAATGATAAAACTCATAATCCTTTTTCTATAATACACTACTGAATTAAGCACCATGATTCTCATACACAGTTTACTGAATTTAATTTCAAATAGTACAAATAAAATAATTTTTTTTTAGTATCGAATGTTTAAAACTTAAAAAAAAAACTATTCCACGTACAAGGTATTTTCTCTCTCCTTTCTATGTGCCTTCTCGGTTAATTGGATAATACGTCCAGCTATCCAGTTAGATCGTGAGGTCTGGTATTTAAATCCCACTGAGGGCATTGCACATTTTTCATGTTCCTGCATTGATATAGCTTAATAACTCTACAAATGGTGCCCAAACTAAAAAAGCTGGTGGACGAGAATTTGTCACAACCAGGATTTGGCAAACGGGTCCCCTCATCCCAGTCACCCTTTAAAAAGGAGTCTGGTTTTTTTTTTTTGCCTATGGCAAAGTAGTTGGGGGCTGTCTGCCTAAGGGGAAGGATATTTTTATGGATGACTTTTTAAGGGAAACTGCCTCGTATACACATTACGACACACAGGAAAAAATATGAAAATGCCCATGTAGCCAGGATTTGAACCCCAACCTGAACTACCAGTGTTCAGCGACTTTACTACTATTCCACTGGGGGGCCCTTTAAAAAGGGGATCATGCAAGGTATTTTCTTTCTCCTTTCTACGAGCATTCATGGTGTTATACACAGCATGTTCGGCTAGCAATCAGGAGATTCAGCATTTGAATTCTAGCAAGGGCACTGCATGTATTTCATGTTCTTCCGTTAATATCGCCTAATAACTCTGCAAGTGGTGCCTGAACTAAAGGGTGGCATATAATCATTTGTTGTCACCAAAATATAGCAATTGGGTCTACTCATCCTCAGTTGTGCTTTAAAGCGGGAAATATATAAGGTATTTTCTTCCTTTCAGCGAGCATGCTTTGTAAAATAACTGGATAGTACAATACATCTGGCTGTGAAACCCGGCGAGGGCAAACTTTTCATGTTCCTGCATCAATATAACCTAATGACTAACTGTGATAAAAGGAATATATACAGCATTTCAAAACTTTGATAATTCCTATATTTATTAAATAACTAAATTTGTATAGTTAAACATACTCACTTGATGAACTGCATCCAAAAATTGAAGGAATATAGGAGCAAACCCACTAGCTAAAGTAGCAGCAGTGTGAGTGCTACGATGTGTAAATCTATGCCCAAAAGCTAACCACTCTTTTTCAATTAATGTTCTAAAGCCTTCAAATGTTCTATAATAAGGATCTAAGCATATCTCAGCAAGGGAAACAACCTAAAAGAACAAAAATACTTACCAATACGAGATATCTCTATACATTTTAAAGAAATTAAAATTACTACATAAATAAGGAAACTAATAGAATTTATCTACATTTGTTATCTACGTCACATATACAGAATGAAATCTGAAGATGGTTACAAATACTGTAAACCGAGAAAATTTTTCAAGTTTTTGTTTTTGCTTTTTTTCCCCCCATATTTTGCATAACACACAGTGTTCATGTGTAATAATTTTAAAAACTATATACACATATGAATATCCAGGATTCTAATTTAAAGCTTGTAATTAAAGAAGACAAATTAAAAAAGAGAGCAGCAAATACGAGATTGAAGCACTCTGAGGGGTTGCGATCTTATATTTACTGATTCTATACCCATGACTTATAGTTGACACATGCATAAACACACAAAAAAGAAAGAGGAAGAACATATTAAATTTTAAACTAAAATTTAACTAAGAACATCATAACTGAACAATGGAACATCTTACCCGTCTGGCCCATGTTTTTGCTAAGCACAAATTTCTCAAAACTATCATGAGAAAGAATTATTTCCTTGATTTTAATGTCTATATATCCCTAGTACTTTATAAATGGATTTACGTACTTTTAATATATAGCCTTAATTTCTTTGCATATTTTAAGATTCATGCATTTGGTCAGTGTTAAAACTCACGCTCATTGCAGTCTTCCTACAACAAATGTGAAAGTGAGCATTTGCATGCACCCATATGAAACTCATGGGCATCCTTAAGGTGCAGGCTACCCATTAGATGCTTTCTTAGTTCACGTTCTTACTGGTGGACATAAATAAGCTAGCATGGAATAATAACTATTCATGATCAAACATCATTCAATTTATTGTACTTCGCTTTCATACTTGCACATAACAATAAGGGGGGTATATATTTATATTATCCTTTGAGACTGTAGCCCTTCATTCATGCGAGCGAGAGGTGCTGCCGAAGCAACAAAAGGCACACATCACATGTTATGTTTTACGTCACAACTTCTCTCTCGCCTGTCAGTCTCTTTTTGGAGAGTGGCGTTGGGAGGAGAAAGACTGCTGTTACAGTTTATGTAGCTGGCCACAAGATGGTGCAGCTTTTTTACTTTTAGCTTGTTATATTTTTCTTACCGCATTGCAGATTTTTGATATAGATGTAGTGCAACCGGAGTAACATGATGAACGTTGTAATGTAAGCATACAATTGTTGTACATAGCTGTAAATAAAGCTTCTGTGTGATAAAAATGAAAAGGAATTTTAAGCGTTCCTGTGGGTATTCATCAAGAAAGGTAAGCAAAAATTCACCTATAAATGTTGTTAAAATGTAAAAAATAAGAAAAAAGATCATAAGTTGCAACATGGTGCTGGAAATCCAAGATAACAGTGATCTTTAGATATATTATGATTTAAGTATTTATTATTGTTCGATTAGTGATTGAATATTGATTATTAAGATGGATACGTTAAAAGCATTAAAAAAGAAGCGAGGAATGTTAAGAGCATCAGTAACAAGACTGATAGCTAAAATGGAAAAGGAAACAGAATCAGATAATATTAAATTTTATTTATTAGAAGATGATCTATCCATCTTAAATGAAAATGAAAACGATATACAGTCAAAAGTCATTAATCCGGACTCGTCGGGACTTCGGCGATTCCGGATTATCGATTTTTCCGGATTATAGATCATCAGTTTAAATCTGGTAAGATGGCATGCAGAAATTATAAAATTAAAAATATGAAACTGTAATTTATGAAATAAGAAACAATTATGATCTAAAGGGTATCAAAATTTACAAAAAAAAAAAAAAAAAAAAAAAAAAGGGCTTAATTTATTTTTTTGTATTTGTTTACTTTATTAAACATTTCTTTCAATGTAAGTTGTTTAAGTTGCTTCGTTTTTTATGTGATAATACTTTCTCTTTACTTCTATAAACAGACATAATTTCTTGTTCAGTTACAAAGTTCCGCTGTTCAAGTCCTATAATTGCTGTGTCGAGAATACCGACTAATTTGTCAATCGAAATTTTTTTGTTTTCAATAACCTGTGTCACTTTCTTTGCTATCGGAAGCGAATTATAATGACGAGGAATTTGATTTAAATCATATCAAAGACGGAGTACATCGAGATGAAATACTACATTTAGTAAAGAATTATAAGCCAAATAAAATAAAAACATCTGCCCTGAAGATAAGGATAGTGCTGACAGATCAACTTCCAATTCATTGTGCGCCACGGCTATCCCCTCGCCCACCCCGCCGTAGAGCTGCGTGAAATTGATAAACAGATTTCGGAATGGTTAAATAAACAAAGGATATGCCTTTATCCATTTTTTGCAGCAATTCTACTTTTTGTTTAATGGACTTCGAAACATCGCTTTGTAGATCCGCTTTGTAGGTCCTTTACATATTAGTAAATATATATCGGAAATTCTATTTGACGTAATCGAAAGTTCAAGCTTACTTTTATAAAATTGCTCTAACAGTCTGCAAAAAATAATAAGCCGGATCCAATTTGAAGATTAAAGAACAGAGCAATCTGCAACAATAACTGAATTAGATAATTTTAGCTTAGCTTATACCGTACGTTATACATTAAACGTGCATGCGTAAACATATTTTGGGCATGCGCACACGCATATTCGCAGCCGTAAAAGTCTTGCACATATGCGTCAACTCGACGCATGCGCAGAAAGTTTGTAGCTTTGAGGTCCGGATTATGGGTGTCCGAATTAACGACTTTTGACTGTACTAATATTGAACACTGAAATCGAATCTATCATAACAGATGAAAAAGCATATGACACTGAAATACAGGATACCTTGAAATATATATATATATATATAAAAAAAAAAAAATTACCTTGTGCAAATTGAAGATCAGTAGAATATTTAGAAATAAAAAATGTGTTAAATTAAATGAGATGCCATCTAATTCTGCTACTATAAATACGGTAGAGAACACAAATACAAATGTCGCTAAACTTCCGATACTAACCACAAATAGATTTAAAGGCGAAATATGTGAATTTCAAAGTTTTTGGGATCAATATGAATATGGTATACATAATAACTCTGCTTTAAAGGATGTAGACAAATTTAATTACCTCACATCTTTACTAATGGACACAGCTTTATTGTCAATAAAGGGATTACCGTTAGTTGCCGAAAATTACGCTAAGGCAATAAATATTCTGAAAAAAAAAAAAGGTTTGGTAGAAAGGACATTTTAATAAATGCACATACAAATCGTCTGCTGAATTTAAAGCCAGTAAAAAGAAATGGATGATATTAAAACATTACGTAACTTATATGATAGCTTAGAAATTGAAATTAGAAGCCTTGATTCCCTTAATGTTACTTCGAATTCTTACAGCTATTTGTTATGCCCACTGTTAATGAGGATACTTCCTAGCGAATTAGTTTTAGAGTTTAATCGATTGTTAACCCCTGACACAGAAATCACAGTGGCTAACATTTTCGAATTTCTGAAGAAGGAAGTTGAAAGCAGAGAGCGTACGTTTTTTCAAACATCGCCAAATTATTCTGAGTTTAACATCAGAACCGAACAACATAAACATCAATCATGAGACTTTATTAAAAGTGAGAAAATATCATACTGCCTTAAAAAATAAACATTTTGTTCCGAGCAGGTTGCGTCGTTGAATATGAATGCATCAACAGCCGATTGTATAGTTTTGTGGGAAGATAGAAATGAATCTCTGAAACATTCTACCTTCAAATTGCACAATTCCAATTGAGGAGAAAAGAAAAAAATTAAAAATGGCTAACATGATGCTATTTATATTTTCGTAAAGTCTCATACGGTCAGCCCAGTTGCAGCTTGGATATACGCTGTGATTTATGTTCATTAAGGCATAATAACTATTTTACATGATAATAAATTTGAAAATAAACGGGAAAATAAAGGTGAGCTTAAAACAGACACAGTTGGTGGCGTCAATTTCGGAAAGACATATCACAAAAATAAGGTTTATTTACAAACTGCAAATGCAATAGCTTTTAGGTCCAGAATAGAAGAAAAAATGTAAGACTCATTTTCAATTCTGCCTCTCATAAATCTTTCATCCTGACAGAAGTATCAAAGCAATTAAAATTAAGTGTTGTGGGGGGAAGAAGAACTTCAGATTTACACCTTCGGCTCTACTGAGCCTACAGTTAAAAGGCTAAAAAAGATTAAGGTTATTCTTAAAGATATATGTGGACCTGAGAAAATATTATTGATAATTCTCTTGAAACTCCAGAAAATTAATCCAAGCTGTTATTGGTATGCCATGCCAGGAAAGGAAATACTTAATTATTGTAAGGAAAGTTCGATAAGACTTGCTAATGACTGCTACAATATAGGTGGCCATAACTCTCAAATATCAGTATTAATTGGTAATGATTTTTTATTGGAAAATAGTCACTGGGAAGTGTTAAAAGATTATCAAAGGGTCTTGTTGCCTCTGAAAACCTTAATTTGGTTACACTATAAGTGGAACTGAAGCATTAAGTAATGTTTCTACACTTCATTCCAGAATTACGGTAATGAATGTTGTTGAGAATATTTCACATGCACCATGAATTTTGGAGAACTAGTGCAGCTCTAAAAAAGGCTAGGGATTTAAATTGCAATGACTACATTGACTATTCAACAAATGAAAATGACACTGAAGTTGAGGAGATTTGAAGAAACTATTGAATATAAAACCAATCGTTATGAAGTTTCATTACCTTGGAAGGACAATGTCAACAAAATGGGTAGTAATTATAACATCGCCTTAAACAGATGAACCAGTTTACTTAGAAGGTTTAAAAAAAATCCTGAAATTTATGACAAGTATTCAAGGGTAATTGAAGGTTATCTAAATAAAGGAATAGCTGAAAAGGCTCTGAAGAATTTTGAAGAAAACATCTATTATCTGCCACACCATTGTGTGTAATCAGAAAGATCACGATTCTACGAAATTAAGGGTCGTATT